CCTTAGCCGGTTGAGCTATAGGCGCCAAGCCAGTTGAGCATCTTTCGTATGTTTATTAGACACATTTATATCTTCTTTCCAGAAATCTCTATTCAGAGCCTTTGCCCATTTTTAAAATAGATGATTTATCATTTTATTGTTGCGTCATAGGGGTTCTTTATGTATTCTAAATACAAGCTCCTTGTCAGATACATGATTTGTAAAAATGTTCTCCCATTCTGTGCATTCTTTTCACTTTCTTGATGGCGTCCTTTGAAGCAGGGAAGCTTTTAATTTTGGTGATATCCCTTATTCATTTCTAATTATGGGTGAAACAGGCAGAAATAATAAGGAACAGGTATACCGCCAAGTTCGAACTGCCTCCATTCAGCAGCAATGAATTTGCTTGTGGGTTGCCATGGCTGATAAAAGAAAAATGGTTCAAGACAGATGGGAGAGGAGAATACTGACTAGGTACATCATGTAGCCTGAGTTCAATAAAACAGACTGGCATAGCTGCCCACAGAACAACTCCCAGTGCCAGAGGCATCATGGGTGTGGACGGGAAGCCTTCACAGCATGAGGTGCAGTCCACTCTTTTTTTTTTTTGCAGTTTTTGGCCAGGGCTGGGTTAGAACCCTCCACCTCCGGCACATGGGGCCAGCTCCTTACTCCTTTGAGCCTTTGAGCCACAGGCACTGCCCAATCCACTCTTGAAGTTAGAGAAACTGTGGTTCTTTGGGATGATATAGTTTGCTGCTTATCTGTTTGAATCCACAACCCTGTTGCAATAGTTTACCAGGCCTGATTTTTTTGTGGAATCACTGAGGTTTTAAGCTTTGATTTCATATCTAGCTAGTTCCTCTCTTGCCCTGCACCCACAGTGAGCTGGTGTGAGAGGCCGAGAGTGGCCTTTCTGGGAAGGTGGCCTGAGCCTTTCGTGCCACTGGCCTTCTCAGGTGCTGACCACCAGGGCAAAATGTCTGGTGGGAAGAGAATCTCCCACTTGCACTCAGAAATTCAGAAGCAGGAATCCTAGGACGGCTTCCTTCTCAGTGCTGAAGGAACTGTAGAATTCCGATTGACACCTTCCAGAAACCTGCCCTCTCGAAACCGAAAACGGCTTTTGCTGACATCTGGTTCTTCTGGCATGCTGATATTTTTATTTATAAAATGATGCTATTATCCCCGAATAGATTCTTATTTTTAACAGGCTTTCTCCCTTTGAGGGATGCCTGAGAATCACAGTGTTGCTCTCTGGCATCTCACTGTAACCCTGCAAAGACAAGAAGGCCCCAAAGTTAAACAACTTTGTATATCTGGAGTCCAATTTCTGCGTTATCTTCCTTCCTTCCCCTCATCAATCTCAGTCCAGGAAGGAAAAACTTCAATTAGTAATAATCACCCCCAGATTAAACCCCTGTTACTCACACAGGAAGGGAGGCAGGTAAGAAGGGGACCCAATAATGCCCTGATTCCCTGTTCCCCTCCTTCACCTGTCCTGTGTGCATCCCTCCGCTGAGGTTTCCTTGTTTCTTATCTTTTAGCTGCCCAACATGTTCGGTGACCTTCGGTCCACATTTATTGCCTTGATGATTGGCTCCTATGCCTCCTCAGCAGTCACCTTCCCAGGAATCAAGGTGAGGGTGTGGCTGGCAAGTTTCCAGCACACTTGTTTTGTACTAATGTATGTGCACAGGCCTCCTCCAAGGCTCCCTCCTCTCTCTGGGCACTGGAAGCGGCCCCTCCCACCACTCCCAGCTGGCAGGATGTACCTGGGCTTCACAGGCATGAGACAGAACCACTGGGCCATGGAGGAGGGAATGGAAGGTTCAAGGGCATCACTATAGGGCTGTCTGTGCACTTCTGGGCTAGAGTGGGCAAAGGATGGCCAGTGAGTCCAGCTCTAGTCTCCCCTGCCCCCAGCCTGTTATGGTGGCACTACTGCTCCCCATTAGCCAGAACACTGCTCTCAGCCAAGTTGGTTCAGCTGTTTCCCTCTCAGGCAGATTCAGAGCCTGTGGAAGTCAGATGGGGTCAGGATGCGGCAAGCACCTTACTGTCCATTGGTGTCCGCTCCTACCGCAAATCCTGCTGTTCTGCCAGGGCTTCTGTGGGGGCTCCTCTCTCCTCTGGCGCCAGCACTAAGTGAAAGCCCCTATGCTCAGGTGTGGGTGGGCTAGACACCTGGGAATAGAGAGGGGAGGAAGTAGGAATCTGGGGCCAGTTGTCCCATGGACTTCCAGAGATCCTTGTGCCCCTGGAGTATGGAGGAGCCTACAATTTCCCCTACCTGCTCCTCCCAGGGTCTAACTGCTGCTGTCCTCCCTGGTGAGCCAGGCAGCCGTCTGCCAGTACTGTAGGGATTCTTGTGCAGGTGCTATAAATAAATGGTGTTCATGACAGTAACAGCCAACGCACTCAGCAGGCTGCTCACCTGCCAGCCCCTGCAAAGAGCTCTCTGTCAGGGTCACACCCACTAACCCCTAACACTGTAAGGACACATGCCAGTGTATACCCATTTCACAGATGATCAAAGGGAGGCACACCTGTTCTTTCCTTGAGTATTTTTTTGGCACCTCCCATGTGTATTCTTCAAGGCACTGGAGAATCATCAGGGGACAAGGCTAGCAGGTTCCTGTTTTGGGGGAGCTCGGCTAACGCCGGACAAGCAAATGGATCAAAAAGTGCAATCATCTCAGCCAGGGCTGTTCACTATGAGCCAGAGAGACAGTGATGTGGTTGGGGTGGTCAGGGAAGGCTTCTGTAAGCTGGAGAGATTTGGTTCAAATTGGAGGCACAGAGCTAGATAACTAGCGAGTATAGGTGAGTTGGGACGATTAGAACACAGGGTATGTAATGCTCAAGCCCCCAGGCCAACAAGGCTATGCTTCCTGGTGCAGCTCAGCACAGGAACAGCAGGGGCTACAGATGTCCCTGCCTGCTGATCACCCTGGCCTCCCTCTGCTAACCCCACCTCCTCTCCCCACCCTACCCCACTGTGCCTGGCAGCTCATCTATGACGCTGGTATCTCCTTCATCGTCATTCTTGTGGTCTGGGCTGGCTGTTCCGGGTTGGTTTTCCTCAACTGCTTCTTTAACTGGCCTCTGGAGCCCTTCCCGGGGCCAGAGGACATGGACTACACGTAAGTAGACGTGCCCTCTGCCCCACCATCACCCCAGCCAGGGTCCTGGGCAATGCCCACAGACACTCTCTTGGGGTCCCCAGGGTGAAGATCAAGTTCAGCTGGCTGGGCTTTGACCACAAGATCACAGGAAAGCAGTTCTATAAGCAGGTGACCACTGTGGGGCGCCGCCTCAGTGTGGGCAGCTCCATGAGGAGTGCCAAGGAGCAGGCAGCACTGCAGGAGGGCCACAAGCTGTGCCTATCCACCGTTGATCTGGAGGTGAAGTGCCAGCCAGATGCTGCAGGTACCCACCATGGCCCCGAGACATCAGCAGGGTGTCCACGTCTATACCTGGGCAACAGGGAGGGGGCATCCCGATCAAAGGGCTACCCTGGTGGAGGGCTTAGTGGGCATCCTCTCACTTGCTTCCCACTTCTTCCCAGGAAGGGAGGTGTCCCACTAAGCCTCAGAGATCTGTAGGGTGACCCCACTCCAGCAGTAGTGCCATGACCCTCACCCAGACCCATCCCGGAGATTCCCCTCCTCACCTCCAGCATGGGATGATTTTCTCAGCAAATCTCACCCCGGCCCCACACACCTGGCCCCTGGATGGCAGGTGGGCCGTGCAGCTTGGCCCTGAACCCTGCACCCTCTCCCCGCAGCAGCCCCCTCGTTTATGCACAGCGTGTTCAGCCCCATCCTGCTTCTCAGCCTGGTCACCATGTGCGTCACTCAGCTACGGCTCATCTTCTACATGGGGGCCATGAACAACATGCTCAAGTTCCTGGTCAGCGGCGACCAGAAGGCAGGTAGGTGGCTCAGACCTGGAGAGTGCTGGTCATTCCTCCTGGCCTGCGTCCAGCCCGCTGGAGTGAGTTAGACTGAATCAGCCCAGCAGGGCCATGAATCCGCAGCATCCGAGGCACGATTTCATCGCAGCTAGCCCTAACTGTGCTTTAATGTCCCCTAGTCAGGGTTTCCCAGCTGAGGAGGGAGGGAAGGATCAAAATAGCTACGTGTGTGTTTGGGGTGTGGGGTATGTGTTTTCCATTACATGAGGGGGAGGGTTGACTGTGTCTGTAAACAAAATCATGGCACAGAACAGAACACTCCACCTGGGTGCTTGGAACGAGAGCAGGACAAACCGAGGCTGGGAATGCCCCTGGAAAACAGCAGGATTGGCATGAGAAGACCCCCAGGGTGTCCAGGGGAGGACGGGTGTCATGACTGGAGACTGGGGGGCAGCCCACCCCACACTGGGATCTGCATCTTGAACTTCAAGACCGGGCAGGGCCGCAGCTTTCTGGGGTGTGTGAGCCAGCTGAGGCTTGCCTGCTCCGGTAAGCAGAACCGATAACCACTTTTCCAAAACACCACAGAATGTCTTCGGCTGATTAGAGGTTTTGATCTTACAAGGAGAGTCAGTACTTCCCTGAGGCCTGAGCTGAGTCAGTGTTAGTCATCCCCAAGTGGGACAAACACATTTGGAAAACCCTTTTTATTGGTAGTCTCGCTGGTGTGCGTTTTTTTTGTGTGTGTGTTGGTTTGTTTTTATCAGGGGGAAGATAGCTTAGGCATTGTAAAGAATCAATTTCCAGTTTTTAAAGGGGACAAGAAATCCAGCTTTAACCAAAGGAGATGATAGCAAAGGGAATCAGATAACATAACTGGTTCTGCTGTGAAAATGGGAGTCTGATGGTAAAGCAAAGTAGAGAAACGTTGAATGTCCTGTGTTCTTGCAAAAATTCTGAATGAGCAGTAAGCTCATTACACAGTAAACCCTTGAGGAAAAGTAGCCCTGCAGGAAAAAGTAACCTCTATAGCTTTGTTGAGTCCAGTGGCATTCCTCTAAATTTCTACCAATCTTGTTTTGGGTAGCACTCATTAAAATCTGTGGAACATGGAACACACTTGGGGAAAGCTGATCTGTCACGTGCACACACTTTCTGTTACCATTCAGGCCAGAGTGGCCTGAGGTGTGTAGGGAGAGCCCATCCCTGGCCCTCAGAAGGCAGATCTCCCCATTGCCGAGTTACAGTCTTTGACTCCAGTTCTAGGAGAAATCTGCTGCTACTCAAGAGGAATTTTTCCAACTATTTTCTACATTCAGAAAATCAATTTCAAAAAGTAGAGGAAGTCAGGCCGGAAAGTTTGGTCTGTGGCAGACAGGGCTTTGGTTTTCCCCGTCCTGCTCCTGTGACCTGTTGCACTCAACACCCACAGCCCTGGCTCTTTCCAGAAGGGCTGCTGCAGGGCCAGGAAGTTGGGAGCCTGGGAGGGGGCCCAGCTCTGGTTGTGTAGGGGGTGTCAGACGCTGTGGCAGGGTATCTGGGAGGATTTCTTGATCTTCCCCTCTCCCTGAGTGCAGCAGGAGGTAACAGTGGCAGAGCAGTGCCCTAAGGGCTAAGTGGTGGTGGGGGAGGGACAAGCCACTTCCCCATCATTGTGTCACCAGCTGCCAGCTCCACAGGCCTGATGCACCAACACCAGTTACACGTGACTGCGTCACCAGCAGACAGGAAACCGTCAGCAGGGGCCTAGGCTGGGTCCTTTCCTGAACTCACTTCTAGAGGCCTGACTCAAGCATGGCCTCCCCCAAGCACTTTGTATTGGATCTTAGGAGACAGTGTATATTGTGTGCTGGACCCAGAGCCACCTGCCTCCCCTCCCCACCTCTCCATAACTACTGTTGAGATTTCTGCACTAACCTTTCTCCTTTCTGCCCTTTTTGCCTTTGCTTTCTTGATGCAGTGATGGCCACGGGTAAGCAGGAGGCTTGTCAGGGAACACTGCAACATCCCCTCTCAGTCTCCATTCACCCCAGAATCTCCTGGCCCTGAGCTCATAACGGGCTTCTTGACTAGAACTGTGAGGGTAGAGGTGGGGCAGTCAACATTCAGCTTCTGTTCCTGTAAAAAATCTCACATTACGTCAGAGCCGTGTGAGTGGTACCTTCCTAGCGTATTTCTAGAGACAGAAAACTACTGGCCAGTCACATGCAAAGCCTCAGTCACGGGCACTGTTAAATGTGTGGTTCCCAAATCAGTGACTTCCCAGAGCTTCTGGAGGAGGTCATTGCGACATACTGGGTTTCATTAGCCAATTCTTGGAAATGAGCAGGGGATTTAGAGCGGAGAACAGAATGACCTACCCCTGGCTCTGGCTTTGACTTCAGAAGTTAGTGTCTCTGGTATCCCCTTAAGACCCAAAGTAAGAGGGCAGCGCCTGTGGCTCAAAGGAGTAGGACGCTGGCCCCATATGCTGGAGGTGGTGGGTTCAAACCCAGCCCTGCCCAAAAACTGCAAAAAAAAAAAAAGACCCAAAGTGAGAAGGGGGTTCTGGGGTGACCCCAGAAGAGCCTGTGGGTACCGGCGTCTGCCCCAGGGCTCTCTTCCAGGAGCCCCCATGACACGCCATCTTCCTCCCCAGTTGCCCTCTACACCTCCATCTTTGGTGTGCTCCAGCTGCTCTGCCTTTTGACGGCCCCTGTCATCGGTTACATCATGGACTGGAGGCTGAAGGAGTGTGAGGACGCCTCTGAGGAGCCCGAGGAGAAAGA